AAACTACGGAGGAACCAGCTGCGAAAACGATAATTTTGGTACTAATTTTCTGTTTGGCAGCAGGAGTGTTTGGCAGCAGGAGGGAAGAGGGGGCGTGGCTTTTTATAGGAAAAATTGGAGGCAATCACCGCTTTGGACAAAGGCGGTGAACCATCATCGCCTTAGTCAACAGCGGTGATGGCTAGGTAGCTGTTACCTACCTGTCCACCTACCAGGGCTGTGTAAAACGTGGGGGCAATCACTGCTGTGGACAACAGCGGTGATGGCTTCACTGTTGATGTCCAAAGCGGGGAACGTATCACCGCTTTTGACCACAGCGATGATGCATTCCCCGCTTTTGTCCAAGGCGGTGATGCGTACCCCGCTGCTTCACTGCTTTGGACAAAAGCGGTGATCAACATCACTGTCTTAGACAAAGACAGTGATGTTGAAACTGCTGTATTTTGGGAATTAGTTTTATAAGTACTGTATTTAGGGAATTTTTTTTAATAACTAGCGTATTCTGGGATTTTTTCCGGAAGAGGGTGCGCTGTGAAGTTTGTGCTGTTGAAACTTCCGAGACGTGGACCAATGGAATTGTCCGCTTTCGGATTTCTTGCGTAGAGCGGTTGCCCAAGTGAGCGGGACCAGCCAGAAAGGAAAGGATAAATAAAAAAACGAGTTATTTGTGTGAGAATATGTGGCGCCATGTCGCATTGGAGTTTTGTAGTGGTTGAGGTGGAGTATTTTTTTATTAGTCAATAATTAAGAATTATTAATTTAATTATGAAATTAAGAGAAAGTGATATTTAATTAATGAAAGGGCTAGTTATGGTATAATGAAAATTAGAATTTTCTTTTCTTTTTTCTGTTTCAGGCGCCTCTCTTTTCATTTTCCTTTTGGGTTAATAGCATTTTTTACCGATTACTATCGCAAGTTAACAAACATATCTCTATACTATATTTTTGCAAGTTCATACACCCCTCCATCATTAAAAAGTAACAAATACACCTCTCTGTTAATTTTCTTGTCAAATAACAGTTACGCGGGAGGTAAAATGACAGATTTACCCTTCTTAAATAACTATTTTGATTTATTTCTAAAGTTATTTCCAATCCACCAAAACTGCGAAAAAGTTAATCTCCTAACAGATGCTTTTGTTAGGAGATACTGACACGGCCCGGATTTCGTCCACGGAGGCCCAGTCGCAATCCAAGGGCAGAGGAGGATGGGCTCACTTAAGTGACAAAAGGTGGGTTGTTTGGCCCAAGCCGAGCCAAAGGGAGGGACCTGGTGGCTGGCTGCAGATGTACATGGGCGTTGGGCAGTGCTTGGGCCGGCACGGCACGGGCACGCTTTGGGCCCATTTATTTCGTGTCGTGCTTGACACGGTCCGTCACTTTTCGTGTCGTGCCATGCAAGCCCATTTGTTAACTTTGTTAGGCCCGGCTCAGGCCCGGGCACGGTTCGAAACGTGTCCTGTCTATTCGTGCTCGTGCCATGCTCGTGTTCGTGTTTAATGAAAAGGAAGAAAACAAAAGAGAGAATGAAAAAGAAGGTGAAAATTGGACGGAGAAAGATAGTATTAACCGATAATGTTTGAGAAAAGTAACAAATAAGGGGAAAAAAGAAAATTAGAAGTATAGCGAGTGTGATTTGGCTTTGTTTAATTCTTCGTCCATTTTTACTTATGGTAGTAATTACGTATACATCTTTATGACACTTCTAACAACAACAAATAATTATTTTCTACTTGTAATTTGTAATATTTGAACCTATAATTATTTTTATATTTATTTTCTATCAAATAAATATTATTTTTGTGTCATGTCCGTTCTTATTCTCAATAAAGTCTCAAAAATATTAAGACTGACACGGCCCACTTATATATTGTGCCGTGCTCGTGCTCATGTAAGTTTAGGCCCGGCACGGCCCATAAATTATTCGTGCTCGTGCCGGGCTGACCCATTTATTTCGTGCTCGTGCTCATGTCGTGCTCTAACCGTGCCGTGTCATGCTAGCCTGTGGTCGGCACGGCCCGGTGCCCACGTACAACTGCAGATTGGCTCCAAAATTTGGGCGGGATTTTTAGGAAAGAAGGGGATGGTGTGTAGGGAAATAAAAAAAGAAAAATGTGAAAAGAAAAAAACATAAATGACGAGAATTAAATGCTCACTCACCCACTTCACTCTCTAAACCCCCCCCCCCCCCCCTCTCATTTTCTCTGATATTCTCCTCTTCCAAAGGTAGAGCCGCCGCAAGCCATAACTTTTGTCAACCATTTCCCCGCCGGCGAGCATCTCCCTCGTCCGTCGCCGTCCACGGTATAGGATGGGGATCGACGAAAATGGTGATTTGGATGATCAACGAGCTTCTCCGATGAAGAAGGATAAGCCGATCGCCGTAAATAGAGAAGAATAACCCTATCCTACATCAGATGAGTTCGTTTATGTAGATTCAGGGCCAGCGCCTGCCCTCAATAAAGAAGAAGAAGAAGAAGAAAATAATGAAGGTTGATTGAATAATATATATGTTTTGTGTTGTTGAGATTGGTTGGTTGCATTCAATGACATTTAATGATGTTGATGTTGTTATGGGATACTGATACGGGGTTTTGGATACGATTTACTGAAATGTTGGATATTAGTTTGGGCATGTTTGAGGTGGTGTGTAACTTACTGTTTAGTGCAATGTTTGATACTAGTCTGGTATAAAAATATACTATTTATTGAAAGGCTGGATATTTGTTGAAGCCTATGTATTCTAACAATTTGTGGGTACGATTTTGACGAATGTTGGATAGTAGTGTGGGCATATTGATTTCATTTGTTTATTGGACAATATGGATAATAACATGCCTCATACTATTAACTCACAGCTCATAAGACGTTGGACCTAGAAGACGAGGAAGTGAGAAAGAACATCTTTTATCACACTAAGGATGATGTTCGGATTTCTATATACGCTATGCTCACAAAAAAATGGGTTTGATGTTTGAATAGACGGGGAACACATAAGACAGATTAAGAATTCTAAAAGAGTGGAGGAAAATTATGCATACCTTTACTACTTTTGTAATAAGCAAGGTTGGACTTCCACTAGCGAAGTAAATATGGACAAATAGAGATAGTCGGAAGACAAGGTTGTGGAGAGAAGGCGCCCTAAAAGAAAGAGGCCTCGAGTTAGGGATGGATGTGCCACTCGTGTTCGTTTTCGATGGGATGCTACTAGGAATGGATTTGTGGTATATGAATTTGTAGAAGAACACAACCATGATTTGCACTCTACCGAGCATACGCACTTGCACAAGTCCAACAAGTGCATGAGTGATGCTCATAGAAAGATGGCCGAAGCTAATCGCGATGTCAAGATGAGTCTTAGTGCATCGTATCAGTTATTGACTGAGTGTGCTGGTGGCTATCAAAATCTGACTTTTACCAAATCCGATCAGAAGAACCAATTGAACAGTAAAAAGCAAAGGAAAATGGCTCGTGGTGAAGCGACTTATTTGCTTGACTACTTTGAGGACCAAAAGGACAAGCATCCTAGGAGAAAGTTGCTAATATTTTTTGGGCGGACAGTTGGATGCGTGAAGATTATGCGCTTTTTTTAGATTCGGTCTCCTTTGATACCACTTTCCGAACCAATAAATACTTTCGTCCACTGGGCACGTGAATCACCTAATTCCCTTGATTTTTTTCAACACTCGTTCGGTTATGCATTGTCATTAATAGTTGTCTTGTGCGGGAATGTTTGCAGGTATATTACAAAAATGGTTATGAGTAGAATGTATGGTGGTTCGAGAGTGGTATGTTGTGATCCGATTGACATGTGATGTCATGATATATTTTTTTAAAAGGGCGGATATTAATTCGCTTTTATAGGATATTAGCCAGGGCTGTACTAATATTTGTTGGCCAATCTAGTGACATTGTACTGTGCCGTATGGATAATATATGTTTTTAACTATTAGTATGGATATATGTTTTTAACTATCCCGTGACATTGTACTGTGCAGTATGGAAATTAACAAACCTGCCCTCTACTAAAATTTTGCACAAACATACCTTCTGATATTAAAATGTAACGAGTTTATCCTTCCATCCAATTATCTGTTAAGTGGCCATTAAATGGACTGTGAAATGACCCAATTGTCCCTCATTTACTCCTAAACACTTCTAAATTTAGTTTAATTATTTTATTTCCCAAATCAATTAATTAAAAAAATAACACCCCTAAAAATCTACAATACAGATTGGGATACTGAAGTGTCGATTAGGATACCAAAATTATTTAATGATTTGAATTGGATATCAAAATTATTTAGAGATTGCTGATTAATTTTAAGGTGTAATTCGGTATTTTGGTATTGGAAGACAGATACCGTACCGATTTCCACCCGTAATTAGGTGTGACAATCGGTCGGTAATCGGTAAACCGGTTACCGACCGACTCGGTAAACAGTATGCCGAGCATGGAGGGGAGAGAGATCGAATACCGAATGCTCCCCTTCCGCAATTGACTTCTGATACGTCTGGTAATCGGTTCTGTAAAATAGTAAACCGATTACCGGCTAACCGTTTGTCACCCCTACCCTTAACACTCTGTTTGGGAATAGGGGTAAATGGGAGGAGGGTGCAAATGTGAGGGGTAAACACAGTTTCCAACACATTTGCACCTGTTTGGATAATTTGGAACAGTAGGGGGAGCAAACTGCAAGTGCAGAATTACTATTTCGACTTACCCCCAAATTGGGGTGCAAGGGAAGGAAGGTAGAGAGGGGGAAGTGGGAAAATTATGAATTTTTATTTTTTAATTGTTTTATAATTATATAATAATTAATATTATCCATTTATGAAAATTATAATAATTATAGTTATCATTAATATAGACATTGTTCGGAGTTGACCGTTTGACTCCGAGAGCAAGTTATCAATGTTAGTCTAGTCAAATAGAGATATCTTCGTTGACTCGAATTTGCATTGAAAATTAGAGATAAGAAGTGTTTGTGAAATGTGTTTGATTAAGTTTTTATTTATTTATGAGTGATATCAATGATAAATAATAGTTAAGCTTACAATTCTACCCAGAACCCCTAACAGATTCTAAAGAAGCCACCCCAAGAAATCAAAAGATTCTAGCTCTACAAGAGATAAAAACAGTGCTTTACGCGCCACTCTATGTGCAACACTGTTGGCGGATCTAGGTACCGCCCTAAACTCTATACAAAAGACAAAGAGCTAAGGATCTGAAGACACTCTCGTAGCACCAGACCACCAATCGAGTCTTCTGAGACGCCTTGATGGACTTGGTTGACGACCACTTCGGAATCACATTCGACTATCACATGGGTCAAGGATCTTGAGGCCACAAAGGAGATAGCATCCCTGAGCGCTAGCAGCTCAGCCAGATAAGGGTTGACTATTCCTTGATGCTGCAACCCGATCGCCAACAACACATGCCCGTCTGACCCACGGATAACAAGCCCAAACGAACACCCGGAGGCACTGACGGCTGCGTCGATGTTGATCTTCAAAAAACCTTCTGGAGGAGGGACCCAAGAGGTGGCAGGCGTGATTGGTGGTAGAGATCTGCGGAGAGGAAGGGGGGAAAGAAGACTGGAGAATTCGAGGACTTGGCTGTAGAACTGACTGGCTAGGGAACAGACATGAGGTTGGGTAAATTCAAAGGTCACTTCATTTCTAGACTTCCAGATTCTCCAAAGTAAACAAACGTATTGGAGAATGTGGAATGGGGAGGTCTCGGAGACCATGATATGTCGCCACCATAGACTAAAGTTAACAGTCTGGGCGGTCTCAATAAAGTTGCTCAATCCCACTAAAGTCCACAATCTGATGGCTAGGGGGCATCTGAAGAATAAATGTTCAATACTTTCTCTGTGTCTCCAGCAGACAGGACATCGTTTAAGGTAGTTTACTCCACGAGATTGAAGGTCCACTGCTGTTGGAAGTATGACTTTGAGGCATTGCCATATGAAGAACTTGAGTTTAGGCGGACCTTGGATGTTCCAAGTCTTTTTCCAAATTGGAGGATCGATGATATGCACTATCGGTTTTCGACTTGTTGCCAATGTTATTTCCAGAGCTAAGTGATAACCCGATTTTACTGTGTATTTTCCATCTTTGGAATAATGCCACACTCTAATGTCCTGCTGAGAGTATCGAGGAAGAGGAATTTTCCTTATGAGATCAACAGATTGAGGTTCAAAGCAATTCTCGAGTTTTGAAACGTCCCATTCCACTCGACCTTCTTTTATGAAATAAGATACCATAGGAGATCCATTTTGAATATGGGGTCGAGTACTTGGGGTTAAGGGTTTATCTTCCGGAACCCATTTGTCAATGAATGCTTGGGTTCTTTGCCCATTGCCTATTTGCCATCTTAGTCCTTGTAGGAGCAGATCTCTTCCAAAGACTAGACTTCTCCACCCCCACGAATGGTTTGAACCAATAGATGCTTCCAACACTGAGCATTGGGTAAAGTATCGACCCTTATATATTTGGGAGAGTAAACATGAGAACTTTGTAGCATGACCAGTTACGAGTTGGGCTTCGAGTTCGTTCGACCAATAATTATTACAGTTGTTATAATGAATTATTATTTGAGCACTATTATATAATAATTATTTTTATTAAAGTATAATAATTATCATATAATTATTTTCCTTTTATTATTTTGTGATAATATTTTATAAATTTGATAAATCTATTTTATAATAATATAATATTTACTTTTAACTCTATTTGCACCCCTTACTTTTTCATCCAAACAACAACTTACCCCTCCACTTACACCCCCACCAATTTGCACCCTCCTGCAATTTGCCCCTCAACTTGAAACCCTTCGGATTTGCACCCCTTTGTTGCCAAACGTAGTTTACACTATGTTTGGGAAGGGGGGTTAATGAGAGGGGGGAGCAAGTTTGGGGGGTAAATGAATTTTCCAATGCATTTGCCCCATTTGGATAATTATGACTAGCATAGAGGGGTGCAATTAGGGGGGCAAATCCACTATTCTCATTAACCCCCAATTTGGGATACAAATAGAGAGAGAAAGAGTGGAAGGATGGATAAAAGATAAAATTAATATATACTGGTTTTTTTATGATTATGTTTTATAATCGTTGTAACTAAAAATGTCATGTAATCATTATTCTACAATAATATTTATTATTATTATTATGATACTAACAATAATTATTATAATGATTAATAATAGTTAGGATTTTGCTACGGTGACATGCATGTCACCGTGACATGGACTTTTCGGTCGACCTATTGCTGAAGGCGGTCGACTGAATCGACTAATTCATGTTTGTGGGATTCCAAGACGCGGTCGACCTCTTACATAATACGGTCGACCGCTTTGGTGGTCTAACAGAATGAAAGGTCGACCCAAATATCTCATAGGCCGACCCTTGTGCACCTAACAGGTCGACCGCATTAGGAAGAGGTCGACCGCCTTCACACCGTATCCGTATTGGATATGGATTCCAACACCAGAAAGGTTCCACAATTGGACAAGGAAACGAATTGGGTCGACCCATTGACGTCCCAAATCTCTATAAATACGAATATTAGTCCCCTTCAACGCCTCCAAGTCTGAATTAGGTTTTTTTTTCCGATTAAGAGCCTTTGTGAAGAAGATCGTTCGCGGTTGCTGTTGTACGCGTTGGAAGTGGTCGACCAGGTCTAAGCTGAGGTCGACCTAATGTACCATTCGTCGTCTTCTTTTCTAATGCGTGATTTCTACCGGCTAATTTGATATATTGTTGGGTGCAGAATTCCATTCGGTCGACCGTGACGTCAATCAGGTCGACCTGACGAGACAATTATGCGTATTTGAATTTAGGCCACAACACTTGGATTTCTGTACTTGCGAGGTAACCCAATTGGTCGACCTAATGGGTTTCAAGGTCGACCGTTCCTGTTTTTTTGGTTATTCAACCTGAATGTCGACTTTGGCTTTGATTGTATGACTATGTTGTGCTTGAAAAGGTCGACCGCGCCAAATATCTGGTCGACCTATCCTTTTTTCGGTTTAATTTAGAACTTACTTTTTGTTGTTAATTGTTATTTTCCTGCTGAATAGGTCGACCTAGGAATAACAGAGGTCGACCTTAATGGTTGTGGTAGTCACTATTTGTCCTCCAGGTCGACCTAATACTATGTCAGGTCGACCACGTATTTGTTTTTTGGTCAATTGTAGAAATTTGAAGTTGAATTATGATTTAAATTTTTCTTGAAATTGTTTAGACAATGACGCATGATGAGAAACTGCATCAAGATTTGGGTGAAATCATGAAATTGTTGAAAGCCACACAAGAGAAGCTGGTGGTGTGTCAAACACAAGTCAATGACTTTCAGAAGTCCATGTGTGATAGAGTGGAGCAATTGTCAGTTCGACTGACAGATATGACTGGGATGATGCATGACGGGTTTGAGAGGCTAGAAGGTGCTATCAAAGATATAAGTGCAGAACGAATGGAGAATGGCGGAAGAAATGGTAAAGGACCTAATTTTGACTTTGGTAAAGAGGAAGAATACCATGATGACTCTGAAAATTGCTACCAGAGCATAGACGATTTATTGAAAGAGCACATTTTAAAAGTATCCAAGTATATTCATATGTGATTGAAGATATTAGTATTACTATCATTAGTGCTAATTTGTTTTGTTTATATGTTTGACAGAGTGAAACAACGAATGGCAGCAAGGGTTCCTCTCCTAAGTACAAGAGACCTCGATATGAAAGTGACTCCTACACCACTCCACAGAAGGATCAATTTGTAAGACAAGGATTATTTAGTGATGATAGCGATGAAGAAGAATCTAAGAGTCCTTTCGAAAAGCACGGGGTAAGTTTACGTTACATATTCATCTATAATGTGTGTTTGTGTTCATATGTTACTTTAATTTTAACTATGATTTGTAGGTCATGAAAGTGGAGGGTCTAGAAGGATTCACCAAAAATCTTCAAAATCCAGTTGAAGACTTGTATTATGTTGTTACTAAAGAGAAGGCTGGGGACAAGAATTGGGACAAGTAAGACGTTTTTTAGTACGTGTGGTCGACCGGATCGGTTATGAGGTCGACCGCTTTTCCAATAAGGTCGACCGTGACTGTGAACAGGTCTACCTGTACGTTGCAAATCACAATTGACATTTTTGTTATTTTGATTTTTGCAGTTTGACCGTTGTGGACTTTTTTTCTGAAAACGTGCAACGACATTATTTGAGTTCGGTCATTAGCGAGAATAGCTGGGTTTGCTCATCAGTAAGTACTATACTACTACGACTTTCGTATGAATTGTGCACTATTTATGTTACGATTTACGATGATTTTGTGTTTGATTGTTGGATGGTAGGTAGTGGATTTGTGTGCAAGGGCACTAACAATGTCTGAAAAACATGATGTGAAAGAGCCAAATGTGTGGTATTTGCCAAATATGTTTTCGGTAAGAGCCGTAATGTCAAATTATTTGTCATAACCTAGTTATTTATATTGTACCATGTCAATTCATCTCAACTAAAACATGCTGCAGAAAATGGTACGCGCTAACATGAAGACCAGACAAATTCGTAACAAGTTGATGAATGATGGCGTGGTCTTTATGCCGAATGTCGGTGCATGCCAGAAGGTTAGTCTAGTCAATGTCATTATATCATTAAATTTCGAAAGTGCATTTGTTTGTATTCGCTGTTTATAACATATAGTGAGTGTTTCGTTGCTAGATATTTATGCCAGTTCTTGACGATGAAGCACGTCATTGGTTTCTGTATCTCGTCAATGTCCAGCAAAAAACTGCATTTTTGCTTGACAGTCTACCTTCAACTAGTGAGGCGAATCGTAGGCGTAAATCAGCACTATGCAAGAAATTGGTAAGTGTTTTCTATAATTTTCTGACTGTTAAGCGTCACGTATGATGCTAGAAACTTAAAATATTCATTATTTGTGTGTAGTTGTCCAATTTGGATGATATTTTCAAACCGGAGCGCATGAGCAATGTAGGAGTACCAAATTTTGGAGATTTCAATTTTGATGAGCTACGAGTTCAACGGCAAAGGAATAGTACTGAGTGTGGTGTGCACGTCATGCAGTGGATGCGCTATGGATCCAAGGATCTTGATAGAGTGGTGAGTATATCGTCAAACAAATAACTTGTTTAATTTACACTTTTTTTAGTTGTAACGAAATCTTACATGGCATAATGCAGATAGGAGAAGAACACAAATTACCGGCGCGAAAGGAGATTCTATGGTATCTGGCTACACATTTTGAAAACCTTGCACGAGAAAATCTTTTCAAGCATGTAGTAGATGAATGCATGGAACGAGGCAAAGAGAGACAGAGTTCAAACAAAAAAGCAAAGAAATGAAGTCGTTAAGTTACAATGTTGCATTATTTGGACCATACATTGAATTTGTATTTGCGAGATCGTTTCATTTTGGATTTTGAATGTTTATCGTTTATTAGATTTGTTATACAATTATGGATGTGACTGAATTTACGATTTCAATCGTCTAGAACAAGTGGTCGACCACATACTCAAAGCGGGCATACCCAAAGGCAGAGCACAGGTCGACCTCGTGACGCAAAAGGTCGACCTATGATACCGTAGCAAAGTCAAAAACCATGTAGAACATGGATGGAATCTCGTCAGTTTGGCCTTAATAAAATACGGTCGACCATTCTTGTTACGAGGTCGACCTGTTTCACATTTATAAACAATGGTCGACCATTTCAGTAAAGAGGTCGACCTGTTTCACATTTATAAACAATGGTCGACCATTTCAGTAAAGAGGTCGACCTGTTTCACATTTACCCAAAACGGTCGACCATTTGTGCAAAGAGGTCGACCTTAATGAATCATGTCCTTGTACAATTAGGATTTTGTGTACTTGTCCTTGTCGAATTATGATTTTATATATCTTTCACCAATTGGATAAGAAATTCGTCTACATTATCTATAAATAGATGGGAGTCTGAAGACTTTAATCGTACTTCGATTTATGCAATTTGTTGGAGTGAAGTTGTAATATCATCGCTCTTATTGTGATCGGGTGTTGGTGGCGGTTTATTTTTATTCCGGTAGACCGTAACAATAAGTGGTCGACCTCTTTGCTAAGGTATGTCTCGTATGTGCTTGTTAATGCTTGTATGTGGTTAAATTTTTCCTACCATCCGGTCGACCGCGCTTTTGTAATTATATGATTAGGTCGACCTTTCAGTAAATTCTGGTCGACCGCATGTTTGTTATTTAGTAATAAGGTCGACCGTACAGTTTATTCAGGTCGACCTGACGAGCGCTAATTGTGTATGTTTTTGACATTAAGTTCGTATTCCAATCGTTTCAGGATGGATAACAGAGATGATACAGATGATAGAGATGATGATGAGGTTAACTTCGATGAGGAACCTAAGGATGCTCAAGAAGGAGCTATGGATAATTCAGATGATACAGATAATACAGATGATGAAGTGGTTGGGGATGATAATGAAACCGAGGGTGCTGAAGAAGAATTTATGGATGATGAAGAAGCTACTGAATATGAACAACAAATTCCTTCCATGGAGTTCCAAACATTAGAAGATGCAGAGAAATTTTACGATTCCTATGCTAAAGCGAAAGGATTTAGCGTTCGACGTAGAGATCTTCGGAGGAATCGTCGAGGAGTAGCAATTGGGAGGACAATGGTATGTTCGAGAGAGGGGACTAGAGATAAGATGCATATAGATAAAGAAGGTCGGACTCGACAACATCGTAAGATGACAAGACATTATTGAAAGGTATCGTATACTGTACGCTTTGATCGAAATAAGAAAATGTGGGTTGTTTCTAAGTTTGAGAGGAAGCACTCACATCGTTGCTGCAATGAAGAAGAAAGTCAATTCCTTCGGTCTCATCGAAATGTGAGTGAAGGAGACAAGGCTCTGGCGATAGGGATGCGACAGTCAGGAATAAAACAACGCAACATTGTTCAGTTCATGAATAATAAAGTTGGAGGATATGAGAATCTGGGGTACACTCCAAAGGATTTGGACAATGCTGTTCAGCAATCCCG